GGTACTTAACTCCTTAGGAGAGGTTTCAAGACAGACTTGCACTTCTGGAAGAATGTAATTTTAAAAGCCTGTCGCTGATGAAACCTTGCCTTTGCTTACTGGGAGGCTACGTCTTGGCAGAAGTTACAGGGTGCAATGGGCACTCGAAATGGTAATAAGAAATACTTTCCGATTATGGTATAGCGCATGGGTCAAGACAAAGAAAAAAAAGCCCAATAGTATATTTAAATCTCCAGTTTTGTACGAAGAGGCTAATTAGGGCACAGAAGGAAATCTTTAGCCTTCATCTCCATTACAAATTCCTTCAAGGATATCTGCACCATCACTCCTAGTTATAAATGGTTCATTTTCAAATGACAGCACAATCCAGTTGAAGATTCAGGACTCAGCACTCTCGGTCCAGACACGTGAGCTTGGGCAATCCCTTACACCTCTCTACCTCGCTTTTGTAATAAAGGTTAATGACATGTATCCTGCCTGGTGCAACACGAGATTAAAAATCTGTGGAAACTGCAAGAGCTAGTTAGGAAGCTTTGTGCTAAAAACTCTGCCAAAGAAGCCTTTATTTTTTTTTTAATACGCACATCTGTGTGCATAAAAGCACTTGCAGCCACGCGGGGCTCAGCCACGCTGATCAAACGTCAATCTGAAGGTGTATATGCAAATCCCCACGTTAGGGCATGCGAGAATTGTGTATGCAAGTGACAGCACACTGCAGCTGCATGCACAACGGCTTACGGATGCAAAGAAAACCGAAGTGCATAGGTGGTTGTCTGCGTATCAACCTTCAGAGTAAGAGTTTTTACATATTATAAATGCCGGCAAACAGCTGGTTGCGGCAGACCTTTGCCAAGACTCCAGCGACAGCTGTACTGACGGGGCTGCTGCTAGCGAGGCTGCCCCAGCAACTGCAGGCAAACGCAGAGAACTTAAGAAGAAATTCTCAAGACAGGACGGGTAGATAAGACATTTAAATGAACTACTCTGTAGGGAGTTGCACCGAGTTCACATTAGTCATTTGGGTGGGGATGTCAATGTCTGGCCAACACGATAAGTGGATCCCCCCACCTCCTACACACACGGTATTATTCAGACATCACCTGATCTTCCCTGGTGACTACAAAGCCACACAGCAGCTGAACCGAACGCCTTTGTTCCTGGGAAACACAGGAGGCACTGGGCTACCAGCTCTGCAGCACCATTAACATACTTTCCAGATAAACACTTTTCAAAAGACATCGATCCATCTTGAAGCCTCACTATCTTAAGTGCACATCTGCAGTGATTTAGCCAGGCGAACAGAAGTCAGGTCATCAGGAGGGCTTTATAGACACCAAGAATGAAAGACCAGCTCTATTACCACTAGATGTTTTCTCACATCCTACAGTACTGTCTGTGCTATTAAATAGATGTTAGGAGAAGGCTCAAGAATGCATTTCAAAGATGAGCTGCTTCATGCCAAGCTTCTCTTTGCCACCTCCCGAAAGCCATGAGGTTACCAACCTTGCTGGTAAGGACTTCAGGACCGCGGATGATTCACCGCAGCAGCTCGGGCGTGTACGTGAGCTCAGCTGCTACATCAAACAGAACCAGCAATCCCATTTCCCCCCTTGCATTACTCTAGCAAATCCCAGCTAAGATGCTTAAGATATCCCAAGTTTTACATCACGTTTCGCAGCAGGCGCGCGCTCACCTTACTGATGATAGTGAATATTATCCCTGTTTACGGGGGGAAAAGCTGGCGATGAATTCCAGGCCTCCTACCAACAGTCCTGACTTGTAGCTACAGGACCAGTGCAGCCTGGCTTCCCACGCCGCGGCACGCGCGCACACCGGCTCCGCAACCGGAGCAGGGCTGAGATTGCAAGCACCAACAGACCCGTGTTTGTATCAGAAAAACGTTATGGAAGGTGTAGTTACACACCAGTACTAAAAGACAGTAGATTAGATTTTATTTTGTCGGATCACTGGGTTTTTTAATATTTGTTTTGATCAGGCTTACAGTGTTCAAAATATTCTAAACCTTAAACTCTGTTTAACTGTTAACCTCTTTCTGCACATTGCATTTTAACTTGATGAGCTTCTATGAAGAAATATAAAATTCACTAAAGAACTAAAGTTAATCATTGATTTTCAAGGCTACAATTTCTTTTTATGCTGGGTCAGATTCCTGCAGGCTATAAGATGAATTCTATGGGCAAGATTCAGCTCTGCCATCCCCAGTACAGTGGATAGCCTCAAAATTGCCTTTCTACACACTTTATTTTTAGACAAGAAAACATCAAAATTCAAGATCACTCTTAAAGCTTCTGAATATTCACTAACCAGCATAAGTAAAATTGTCCAGGATTCTTTTGATACCACAGCACTTAAAATATCTTTAAAGCACTGTACAAGCAGCACTGGATGCAGCTCACAAGCTGATGGTGAATATAATTTTGGTGTCCTAAATTTGGGGTTGGTTGGGGGTTTTTAGGGAGTTGTTTTTTTTTTTTTTTTAATGTTCTGTGGTGTTGGAACAACCCACAAATACTAAATCGCAGAGGCAATTTTTTATTTTTTTAATTTTTTTTTTTTTTACTATTGCCAAAAGGCAGAAATCCAAGAGTTTTCTCAAGATACTCTGTTGGGAGTCAGAGCAAAGGTGAAGCATATTCGAGGTGTATTCTGTCATCACAGTATGATTTGGAGCACATTATGCTTCCTACCCTCAACTACTAAAAATGGGTATAAATAGCAGTTGAACAATGGTACCGCCTAACAGCCCATGGAAAAGACATGCCCCATCTTTGTCATTATCAAAGATGTTAGAGTGCCACCTTCAGTCGGAAAATGTGGCGAGAAAAATCCCTTTTCAATCTAACCATGACATAAGTAGGTTTTCCAGGAGAACCTGGTGGGTGTGGACGTTAAGCAACCAGAGGTTCCCATTCACCCTCTGCACAAATACAAAATAAACCACCACCTCCAAGAGGTGAATCTCAGTCTTTGGAACCACTGACATATTTAAGGCTTTCCTTTTGCCTGTCCTTCTGGATTCATGAGACGAAGACAAAACGCTCGAGTAAAAGATGAACCGTGCCCCAAGATACGCCTAGATGCATCTTAGGTAGAAAAAAGGATTTCTGACTCTTACAGAAGTATTTAAAACAGGTCTGGTAAAGAAATATATTCATCATGTTTTACATTCAGATTTTCTAAGGGAGAAAAGAATGTTTTTAATGTTAAAGGACGTTGGAAAGAAATTGCTTCGGATTTTCAGAGTAAGCTTTGCCAGATCAGTTTTGCACGTCGACTGCAAAACGCTGCCGAGATCTACAGCGTCAGGGCAGCCACAGCCTGAGCTGCTCCGGTCACGCCTGTGCCGGGTCATGGCAGACCACTGATGTGCAAAGCAAATTTACTTCCTATTCCACGGCTCGTACGGTCACGCCACGCTTTCAACAGCACTGCGGCGAGACCCTGCTGTTAGTTCTCAAGTTAAAACTGGCTCATGAAATGCAAAAAAACCACCAACTACAAGGCATACTCCAACCCTCTACCTAGAGCGCACAGTTACATAAAATTGCATCTGCATGAGACACTTGGTCTATGCATAATTTATCCATATTCCCATTCAACACAGAGTAATTAGCCTTTGCTGACACCTGTCTGAATGGGAATTCTGGTAGACTTTCTCCAGTTTTTGCGTTTATTGCAAATTTATTCAGTGACTGGGTTTTGGTTCTTATCTAATTTGAACTGTTAATCTGAAACAATAATTTGTTGATAAATTGTTTAATTGAAACTTTTTTCTTTTTAAACGAGTTTTAACGCAACACAAAATTGTCTTTTACAAGCAGAAACATTTTGAAGAGTACAGTGCTTCCCTCTGAAGTAATTCTTGCTGCAGTGGGATAAATAAAGGGAGCAATATGATCAGTCAGACTAGAAAGCAGTAGTGATGTACTTAGCTATCTCACTGTGCTAATCCTCTATCAGGTGACTGCTCACAAGATTTCTTTAAGCCCTCATTACAGAGGCAGAAATCCAGAACTAGGACATACACTTCAGTGACCCCAAAGTAACACGTTTAACCTCTAAGAGATCTTGGTGGGATTTACGTGCTGACCGGGCCACGACAATCTGCCCGCTTAAAGGCTGGTGGTACCCCAGTAGCATAAAAAGCTAGAGACAAATAAGAAACGTATTCTGCTATTTATTTGTCCGAAGGCGAATAAAGAAATAACTAACTGAAATTTTCTAAATTGGAAACAACTTCTGCTAACCATCCGGAAGACACACAGATTAGTAATTGGGGTTTAGGATCTAATTCCAGGAGCTCTGAACCTGCAGCTTGGCAGAGATGAGGCTTTTAATTCTCTCATTAAAAGGCCTTACAATTGAGTAGATATTAATTTTATTTTTTTACAATAATAAGCTAAAAATCATATGACAACAAATCCTACAAGTCAGTTTAAGATATTTATACTGGGGTAGGTTATAACCTGTTTGTTTTACTTCAAGACACTTCCGACAGCTTGAAAATACTGTCCCTTAATGATTAGCTCTCAAACCAGAAGAGCATCTTCACCCGATGCCAACCCACGGAGACTACCTCGCCGTCCCTGCCCACTGCCACCCGCGTCGGCAGCGCAGGGAAGCGCTTCGGGGGCTGAGGAGCCGCAGGGACGCAGCTGCAACTCCCCGGGTGACGGCGGTGCTGCAGCACACGTCGGCTCCCACGAGTGCCCCTGCACGCACCGTCCATCGGCAGCGTGCCGCAACGTGCTGCCATCGACGCAGTGTCTTTTATCGAGTTACCGTGCCAGGCACATCTTAAGTATACTATCTTTAGAAGATGCTTCTAAAAGGAAAGGCATTGGATTAAGCCTATTGTTGTAGAAAAAGTCTTACTCCAAGTTTTTGCTTACAAAATAAATAAAATACAGAATACTGTATCTACCATCTACACCAGTAGGTTGGTCTAAGTTAGGAAAAAACCAAAACTCCAAACTCACCTTGATCATTTCTGCCACATAACTTTCTGGTCCTGTATATTCTGTCGAATCTTTAACTTTCACTAACACAATAAAGCACAAATAATGCCACATATTGTGCTCTTCTTTAATGTGCTCTTCAAATGTGACTGTCTTGTTATCAAACTTATCTCTTTCCAAACCTACGAGAGTGACACATATATAACCGTTAGCATTTACAAACTGGTACTAAGAACAAAACTTGTTCCTACAGTCTGCTGCACTTCACAGCCACCATCGTTCTTAACTGAACGCTGAGTAACAGGGATAAACGCTCTAACAAATGGTCACAATGCAGTGAGGAGAGGAAAGAAGGCACAGCAAGTACTGCTCACACCTACTACACATAGCAGAAAACTTTTGGTTAAAAAAATGCAATCAGTTTGTTGGATGTTGTAACTCATCTCCTATTTTTAGGCAAAATGATACCAAATGCAACATTTGCTTCGCAGCAAACTTCCAAAGGTTACTTCTGTCAGTCTGTATGTTATGCAACTTCTGCATGACCATCCCATTTAACTGCACCAGCCTGAAAGGCTCAGCAGCTTCATTCCCAATCTACTGATGGGAAAACCTTTCACAGGCACTACTCACCACTCTGCACCCTTGGAAAAAACCGACTGTTTATAAAAATCTCTCCCATTCCAATAGGAAACTATTCTTTGTAGCACAAAGAAACAGAAACTGAGGAAGTTAGGAAAAAATGTTATACTGAGCATACATTCCCTGTCTCCTCCTGCTGCCAACCTGCCATGCATGTGGTACCCGAGAATATCAACTAGCTGAGGAATGCAAGGCAGGAACAGCCAGCAACTCAAGACTCCTGCTTCCCACAAGTCTGCAGCTACCTCTGACTTGGACAGAGTAACCCCTTATTCTTAAGTGTGTTTCTACACTTACCACAAATAAAGCAAGTCGTTTTTAAAATTTCTTCTTTCTTCTGTTTTTCACTCCTTAAATCAGCAAAAGTGTCAATGATCACACCAAAAATCAGGTTAAGGACAATGATGATGACCATGAAGAAGAATAGCAGATCGTATATCACTCTAGCAGCAAAGAGAGGTTCCTGCAAGACACATATTTTAATGATTAACAACCCAAATACGCACACACCGAACCCTTACCGTGCCTTTTGCAGTTCAGCAGAGTACGCTGCCCCAATAACCCCTCCCTTTAGAGTCTCCATTTCTGATGATCTCCAATGTTAACTTACAACTCAAAACATTAAGTGAAACTAAAATGCAAGATTGCTGAAAGAAAAGCCAAATTAGTCAGCTTCCAGTACGTGACCTCTGCAGAGCTGCTCTCTGCCCTTCCTGCCCACTGTGTCCAAGTCTGGCCTCTTCTCTCACTCGCACTGAAATTCGTTCTCTCCTCACCCCCGTCCTGCAAGCTCATCCAAATCACATCCTTATTTTAATCTGCTTACGGATCAATATAGTACTAGCGTTGACCAGAAAGTCTTTTACTGGAATTTCATCATATTCATTTCATTTATGCTAACAACCACGTATGCGGACGTGAAGCTGGACTTCCCAGTACCCATTTCGTATTTACTGCAGGCCTGAGCACCCGCATACCTAACCTCCATTTTCAGAATCACCCTGCCAGTTGGGTGCCAAACTTTTATTAAGAATTATGTAACTTTTAAACCATTGTAAGCTGAAAATTAAGGCTAAATATTAGAAAACACTTTGAAATTGCAGACAATACAGAAAAGCATTCGCTCTGACCAAGACTGCTCCTTTGGCCCCTAATGTGGTTTTGGGGAATGACCAGAGGGAGGACATCCTGAGACTCAGATGGGGACAATCGGCTAAAGCAGCAGCTCTACGGGCAGCTTTGGGTATTGTGACAAATGCCTGCTGCTGTGACTGGTCCTGGCTCTCTGGAGATGTCTCCAAACAACATCCATCCATCCATCCCGCACTCCCAGCTCCAACCCATCTTGGTCCCTGTCCTCTCATCCATTCCCTGGTTTACTTATCTTGCCTTTCCCTAGGGATGCTCCCCACAGAAACTCATGCCACCAGCACGGTATCAGCTACCCCTGCATTTTCATTCTGCTACCTCGTGTTACTCTTTTGCTAGCCTGTACACATCTTATTTCTTCAGATCCTGAACTCCCAAAGCACAGACTGCTGCCACACCATTTCTCTTCTTTTGGGCCCCATTCTGGACAGCCCTCAAGCTAGAAAAGCCCTAAAAAAAGGATGGGTAGAAGCTTGTTTGAACTGGCTGCTGTTTAATCTGATACTACAGAGATTTAACTATATTAGACGGAGACAAAGTGTGGTCCCTTCTAGTCGCGATGTATCCTACATCTGTTTAAAGGGAGTGTATACACATTTTCCCCGGCAGAACTAGCTCCCCAGCCCTACATGGTTATCACTCTTCCTCCCCCATTCAGTGATAATTTACCTCTTTGGATGGTTTCCTGAGCACATCACCTACTCCACCCCCACTCCTGAGCCCATGACTCAGTACAGTAACAATGCACATCAGTAACGTCTCGCACGTATGCTCTTTATTCTCTTCCTCCATTTCTTCAGCAATCAGTTCTGTTAACACAGCAAGCAAAGACACGTTTCAAAGGCGAGAAGATCAGTTTTAAATAATTCTCTCCATTCTTTGCCGGTTATGCTCTCTCTCCCCTTTGCAGAAACTGCCAGACTTCCAGCCAGCGTTGCAAACCTCCTTAGCTCTTGCAAAGAGCCGACCATCGTTGCGGGTCTCTGCTCTGGCTCCAGCCTGCCCTCCTCTCCCCACCAGCAGAGTTCTCTTTTGTGCCTGAATTGCTGTCTTTGACTTGGTTAAATATCTCTTTCCATTTCTGTTAGCATGCATAGCTCAGATCACCAGATGCCTGTTTATACAGAATCATAGCTTTTTGACAGCTCAGAGGACAAAGTGTTGCCTCTTACACTCTCCCTTGGTGCCTAACAGATTGCACAGCCTTTGGGCTGCACTCAAAATGGCAACTTCGACTTGTATTTTTCAAATGGCTAAAATATCACTGCTTATGGAAACAGCATTTTACTAAAAAAGTAACACACTTTTTTTGACCCTCTCTCCATTTGGCTGAAGCCTCCAACTTCACCCTTTCAGCTGCAGAACTGCTAGAATTAATTACCGAATCTCCTATACTCTCCCTGTACCCATTAAAAGTCTCATGACTTTCATTTCATCACAAAAAACGCTCAGGAGCGGATCCCACCTTCCCACGGACACCGTAGAAGGGCACAAATCCCCGTGCAATCCCGAAATAGCCAAACCCCAAGATGGTAGAGAAATGGCCAGAGATTTGGGCATCGTTAATATCCCAGGCCACATAAGACCCTGATAGCGGGTTGATTATTTACGATATAAAACCATCTCTGGAGTTTTCCCTTCTGCAGCCAGAGCATACAAAGACAAAGCAGCAGACTCCTCCAAGAGCTGAATAAACCAGTTATTCTTCTATCAATGTTGAATCTTAGTTTATCAAAGAGGACACTTGAGCAAAACAGAGCCATCTCCTCTTGCGAGCACGGGCTTGTGGCCATTATTGACCTTTGAAACATTTGACCATATAAGAGCTCCACTTCTATGAGAAATAGTAATGTTCTGTCTGGCTCTCACAGCCAGCATCATAAATCGCCAAGAAGTAAATTACATTTTCTAGAAAATAAAACTGAAATATTTCAATACCCGATCTGAGGCTGGCGATTATGCTGCAAATAATATCTCACATGCACTTTTTTGATCTCAAAACCCCCCAAACCTACCCTGTCTACTTAATCCATTGAGTACTTCCTGCCATGATATTAAAAACAGTTTCCTTAGTTAGCCAGATAGAATAATGCTGACAATAAATGATGTTCTGCTCCATATTTCACAGGGTATTATCCCCCGAGATCACATTTAATAGCCTAATGTTTTAAAATAATAAACTTTGCAAAGAGGTAAACTGCATCACTTCCTTCTGAAATTGATAAGGTAGAAAGAGGATGACGGTGTTTTATCAAAGTGTGGTTTAGTTCTAAGTTTCTCCAGTTTAATCACTTCATGTAATAAATGTAATTTATGCTGTTGGCCTAAATTAATCCTTTTTCAAGTTAGATACTCTCCCGATAGCTTTGTTCCCCAATTTATTACATATTTTTTTTTAATTACTTTTTTAATTTAAGGTGCTTAACTAGAAAAAGTGTGAAAACTCAGGGTGTGAGTTATGAATTCAACAGCAGATACTTACGGTCTGAAGGAATGATAGAAGAACAGTTTTCACTGCCACCTGCTTTGCATACATCTGAATAGAGAAACTCTCCGGTCATGGTCTCACCTGGTTCCGTGCGATCTAAAGGTGATGAATGAAATGGATAGTTTAACGTTTTGTATGTTTTGCAAGATTACTTCTTACATATTAAGGTACCACATCATGTTCAGTGTGCAGTCAGTAGGCAGATTTAGAATAGTGTATTATCCTAGAGTTTAGAAGGGCACAGTACTTTGATTCACACATTTAATGATTTTTAATTCAAACATAAAATTCTCATTGCTATGAATTAAAGACCAAAGCTGTGCATTTATTTTGCATTAGCTCCAAAATTAAAAGAGCAATTGAAATTGTTGGGAAAATACTGTGTTCTAGTGCACAGTGAATTTTCAAGGTGCCTTGAGAACTTGCCTTTCAATGCCTTCCAAGTATCAAAACAAACCTACGGCCACATAGTAATAAGTCTTTGGCATTTCTCTAGCTGCATGGAAACGTGAAATAACAGGGTCAGTGAGGTTTGGGTCTCTCACAGGGTTGGCAGTAAAATTAGAAAAAATAGTGGGAATGTCAAATGATACTTGTCTGAATAGCTCAAGTGTCAGAGGAAAAACCAAGGCAAACCCCAAACCTCTGTAACAAATTTCTGTGCTTCCCACCCACCGAGTTGTTTGATGCTGCAGGGTAGGGAAAAAACCCCCGAATTTTAACTTCCAATAAACAACCTAAGGTCAGCACAGAGAAGTCTGCTACAGAATTTAAACTGTAGCAAGTATTTGAGGGAGGTTAATACAGTCTATAAAAACTATGAGCAAACCAGAGTTAGAGATAAACCTCTACTTCACAGGAGCATTTCTTTGATAGCCTTTGTTTATACTCAGTCTGTTATTTCGGACAAAATACTAATTTTTGTTATGCTGAAACTACCCCCCCACCATTAAAAGCCAATATAAGCGTTCGCTATCTGGCAAACCGAGGCAGAACTGAATTCTCCCAGTGCAGAGCCTTCTCCACGATGGCCTACCTAAAGTCTGCTTGTAATTAAACTGGGGGAGGGAGTAGGTGTAGCTGAATTAGATAATCTCAACTGTTTTAGCAAACAGTGAGGGGAGAAATCTCAACCGTGTGCAGAAGAGCCTAAGCGCTATCTCCAGGGGTTCCTCCTCCCCAGCCCTCGTCATGCTGCAGCAGATTGCAGCGTTTTGAAAAATACGGGGGTACCCATTTGCCCCAAGCAGTTTGGCTTTTTAAAAAATTTATTTTCTATTTCAATAGTGTCCTTTGTAAGAAAGAAATTGTCAAACTGGTGAGATAATCAGTATGTCTTGTAAAAGGCGGTAGACACTTGGCACGCCCCGGGGAACAAAAGCCCATTACTTTCTTCAACACAAACCATTAAATTGAGTCACCTGGCAATAACGTTTCATTAGGGAGCTTGTCTACTTCCAGGATAAAGTCATCTTTGAAGAAGAGGTACCCCACTATGGAGAACAGGTAGACCAAGATGAGAGCGAGAACAGCAGTCAGGATGATGGAACGCCCATTCCGAGTGACGCTCTTGATGACGTTCAGCAAGGTCTCTTCTCGGTACACCAAGTCAAAGAGCTGGAGGACAATGAACGAAAGCAAAGGCTGTTTCTCACACGCACTACCAGTACCGCTGGGGGCACGCTACATGTTGGCATGACGCGGGGCAGCACGTTAACGATACCAGCTTGATGTTTTAAAGAGCATTTTGTTTTTCCCTTTTATATTTATCTGAAAGAAAAATATAGCAGGAGGCGAGGGAAATGGGGTCCCTCACCCCCACTGAACTGGCCTTGTGCCATGCCCTTTGAAACGTGAAGAATGGAGGCAGCTGTATCCTCCTCTGCATCTCCACTTCACGGACTCCGGTCCTGAGCGGCAGCAAGGGAGGAAGCCCCTGCCTGGTGCGAGGGCAGGTATTCTAGACAGATATACAACGCGTGCTTTAAACGTCAAGCTGGTAACACAGTGTTGTATTTTTTTTATTAGTACTATCTGTCCCATCACAGTCTCAAAACAGCTCATTTCAAAATGCAATTAGCTATTTATTTTTGTTTATTGAATGTCAATTAAATGAGCAATATTTTGGCCCAAATTCTTTGTTTAAATTTCTTTACAGATGTTTCCTTCATTTTTCACTCCTCTGGTCTGTGACAATTCACCAGGTTGCTGGCTATGCTGGTTGACAATGAGAGAACAGGTATTTGTTAAACCGGACCTACACAAATACAGAAAATAACCAATTCAGTTACCAGAGGACGTAGCAAGCATCAAACAAAGGGACAAACCCAGAGTGTTCTGAATGGGATTTAAGGTTTGCTTTAAGTGTGACACATTTTCTCCACCAACACTAGATTTACTCCTTCAGTGCTTATTCTTATAAGTATCGTGCCGTGCAAGATGAACTCCACCCCAAAAAGAAAAACCACGTATGCCAGGCACCTGCGTCAGTCGCGCGAGGTCTGGAGCCTAGCTACGGCTAAGGAGACACTAACTGCTCAAAAAGCACGGAAACTATGTTGTAGTTATTGACAATAACGGAGTAAACCATCTTAAAGAGTGTGTGCCTCTTACTCATAGCATAGTAACTCCAAAAGCGCCTACTGCTCAGCTCACATTTCTATGGCTAGATTTTTCAATGATTTTTTTCATCCCCCTCCTGTAAGAGCTTATATGACCTTAAGGCAGCTTAAACCTTCACCAGGTATTGATATTACTTGGAATCACGACATTTTACATTGTTTTATTATCTCGGATGTCAGAGCAGGGTCCCAAGCAATACATGTAACCTAGAAAACCTGTACTTTTGGAGCCTGAGGAGTAACACAGAAATGCAAAATACCTTCATTGCAACAGCATACACATATACTATAATGAGCAATTTTAACTAAATTTAACCTTAACCACGTCTTGTATAATACACTTGAGAAGAACAGGGAAGGCTCCACTTGTCCGTACAAATCAGAAGAGATGTGGCAGGAGTCCCGTAGCCTCCCACCATCACTCCTCCCAAGCAAGATCTCCAGCGTGCAGTTCTCAGGGTGCCTGCACAGCAGCTTCCCAGTAGTAAACCGGAGAGCAAGTGGTACATGACACATCTAGATCTGCCTGAGACGGGACTTTACGAACGCACAGACAGAAAAACACGCTGAAGGCAAAGTAAATACCTACCAACAAACTGTAAAAGAATTCGTGTACGAAGAGCCCCAGAGCACAAATCAGAAGGTACAGCAGGTGATAAAGAAACTCTACGTCCATGATCATTGCCTTGTATCCTCTAGTGAAGGTTCCACAGTTACCCACAAAACTCATCAGAAAAATGATTTTATTACAAACCTAAGGAAAGATTAACCGTGAATTAGTTACAACATTTGGCTCTCAGGAAAGAAAGGCAATTTTTCAAAGCTGGAGATCACTCGGCTCCATGATGATGTCAACAACCATGCTGAATTGCCTGTTACACGACAGCGCTTTGCACGTCAGTCAAAACCTGCTTTCTGTTGTGTTTCTGGCTGTCTCAGAAACTAAAACTGCACGTGTCCAATAAAACGTGCGCACCGACTCCTGTCTCCAGCTTGTTATCGAAGGGCGTCAAGACTAAGATTTAAAGAAGAAAGTAAAAACACTCCCCGGTGTGAGAGGCAAACCTTCCTAAAAAAAACCCAACCCCAAACCCCAAGCCCCTGTTCTAAGCATGCACTTTCTGCAGTCAGATAACTCTCTAGCCTAGAGCAAGCCTTACGCTTCTGAAACTCCCCCACTTGCTAATAAGCAAGTGCTCCAGATTCCCTCGGCAATTCACTCCCGGATCACGCACCCAGCAATCCTCCTGCGTAGCACCGGCCACCAACGCCAAAGGAAAGCTGCCTTCCACTTACCTGGAACCTGCTAAACGCTACAATTACCAACACCACCACCCACCCTCACGACGCAACTCTGATTCTGCAGCGCACGGCGCGTATTTTGAAGACAAGGAGCGCTATTAAACGATGGGCTTGAGAGCTGGGCACTTCGTAATAAAGGCAAAGACTTTGAGAGGACACATCTTTGCACAGCTCCTGCTGACTCAGTCAGAGAGAAACACTTTTGGCTTACTTGCCACAAGAGACCACAAGTATCCGGGTTTGAGCGTTAATGAAGTTCTCTGGTGGCTCAGCTTACACGCTCAGTCCACACATTACTGTAGCAAAACTGCTTAGCGTCAGCTCTTGGCTGGCAGGTAGACTGCAGACAGGCATTTGGGAAACGCATTGTTTAGTGAATCTTACACAACCCCGAAAATACTGTAGCTTAGTCGCTGAGCGGGAGACGGGTTTGAGCGAACAACTGAGTACTTTGGGGTCACAGACTTCTTTACATTTCTGGCTGGGGTGGGAGCTTTTACTAGGCTGTGGCAAAACTGAGTGAAAGCGTAGAGGTCTCCAGTCTGGGGAACCAGCATTAAACGAACGGCAGCAAAGCACTGCTGCTAGCAACAGTCCAGAGAGGGAATTACTCCTCCCACCAGTTCCCCCACAATGGCCCAGGCTATTTTTGCCTGTCATCTTCAGGAGCAGGTAAGAAACCTTTACATAAGATGCAAGAGAACTTCAAAAAAGCCCACTCAATACTTACGTTGAATGCACCCAGAAGAAATAAAGTAGGTTGTAAACCAACTGAAAATATTAGTCGTAATATTGTAGACGCGATTAAGGCTCGGATGCCGTGGGGCTTCGGAAGAGCTATAACGATGGCCAGAGATATCAGCATAGCTGTCCACAGCAAGCCTGACAAGTGGGGCTCCAGTGTACCTAGGGTGAAGAGGAAAAAAACCAAACCCCACTTCAATACTTTGTATAACCAAACCAAACCTAAACTAACCAAATAAACGCCATTTTATCTTATCTTTGGTAGAGCATCATTAAGCCTCATGTTCAGACATCACTGATTTCAAAGCAGTAAGAGGAACATCTGAGCCCAATGCCTTCAGCAGATTTTAATTACAAACTCGTTACTGAAGCATTATGTAAATGATAAGCGCCAGTGTTATAGGATTCTTCACTTTAGTGTTCATTACTTATACACCTTGAATGCAGAAAAGGGCAGGCATTCTGCTAGTGCATTCTGCAGAGGCGCTGAACGGGTAGGTGGGGACAGACAACCCTCCTCCAGGTCCAGAGCCACAGCAGATTCTCCTATTATGCTTTTGGTCGAAAACCTCGTACCAGTTTTTGTCATCTCTTGCTATTTCTGGTTCTATTTAGACTGTCCCATGAGACTGTCTGCTTACATAACATCAGCCCGTGTTGCTAAAAATACGCTTCTCTGAAAGAGCCATAAAAAAATACTCAGCTGAAAATACCATTTACCCTGGATTTATGCAGAATATAAAAGACATCTTTTTCTTAAAACTGACATTAAAAAAAATACGCTTTTCTTCAAGCAACTGGGTACCTCAGCAGACAAAAAGGCAAGACTCCCCCAAATTTCATAGCGCTCTGCTGTCCTTCTGCAAACACGTACTCAGAGGGCTGTCGTGTCTGAGGGCTTCCCCCCCGCCCCTGCCCAAACTCCGAAGGCTTAGGAAATATTACTCTCATCTGACTACCACAAGCAGCCATTTAATTTTCTTCCAAATCACTGTAGATTAATAAAGACAGCAGAGGATAGATGGAAATTAAAACTTAATAAGCGTAAAGTTGAACAGATGTTTCCACTGTCTGAAGGGAGTTTGGGATCCCAGAGCAACGCAGCCACCGCTACTTGAGCTGTCAAACAGCAAAAGGTGCAGAGCTCAAAACGGAGTCACCCGAGTGGGAACGATAAACAGCACCGAGAGGGAGAGGAAAAAAAAAACAAACACAAAACCCATGCAGAAGCTCATTTAGGAATGACTTGGGAATTGCCGCGAGAGGCAGATCCTGCAGGATCCTGCCTGCACCTGCGCAGGTGTCTGAACATCCCAGCTACTACAACCATCCACGCCACACGAATATATTTGCTTTCACAAGTTTCGGCGCTTCCCAGCAGGCCTGCAAAAATAACTAGAGTTAATGAAGTCTTCAACTGTAACACCCACGTCGGAAAGGCCCGACGCCACAGGCTGCTCATCAGGCTGAGGAGTGGGATGTCACGACGCTGAGCCCTTAACGGCACCCCGGCAGA